TGTCACACAACTTTCACACTTGCAGCTCTTAGTGTGAAACTGCACGACAAACAAAGCTGATGAGAGATGTGGCTGCATTTTTGTTTCTGACATGTCATGAGTATCTGCCTCGGCAGGGGAAGAGGTTCAACCCTCCTGTTCCCCTTGGAAAGGGAGTCAGGAACTTTGGTGGGGTGTATTTTCCCCATGCAGAAGGCACAGTACCTTGTCTCCTGGCTGCGGGCGCATCACGGACACTCGGTCGTAGCCTTTCCGCAGCAAGACCCAGAGAGCATCCAATTTCCCCTGCAATCAAAGGAAATACAGTGTGTAACCCAGTGGGAAAAGGCACATCCATTTTTGGATCCTCATTTGCACCCATAATTGACGCTGTCCTTTTCTCTGCCATGCAGAAGGCACAGTACCTTGTCTCCTGGCTGCGGGCGCATCACGGACACTCGGTCGTAGCCTTTCCGCAGCAAGACCCAGAGAGCATCCAATTTCCCCTGCAATCAAAGGAAATACAGTGTGTAACCCAGTGGGAAAAGGCACATCCATTTTTGGATCCTCATTTGCACCCATAATTGACGCTGTCCTTCTCTCAGATGGACTAAGGATCTGGCAAGTTTCTTGAGAAGCTTTAGACTTGTCATGATCCTTGGATTATTTGCACTGACCTTTCAACTGTTGAAACGATATTTTAAAAGGGGGAAAATCCAGCTGGCATCACACTAAGGAGCAGCAGCAGCAAATAAGAATAATAATAACAATTATAATAACAATCTTTTAAGTGTAAGTAGCCGCATTTGGCAGCAGATAAAGCCCTGGGGCATTTCAAGCAGCAATCCATCAATTCTCATTTAACAGTTGTGTACCTACTAAATAGACATTATTTTGGGGAGTGGATGCAAGGGGTAGAAAACCCTTTGCCTCCATCAGAATAGCTGGCAAAAGGCAGGACACTCCAGGCAAAGAAGGTGGCCCTTGTGTTGCATGGAGGGATGGAGGGCTGTTGGGACTGACTCTAAAATGTGAATTTCTTGGCTTTTTGTCAGATTCAAACCATCTTGGTTAAGTGTTGCTGATTTGAATTCCTTACTTTCCTCCTTTCACATGTTTTCCTTTTAAGTAGCTTGTTACATGCATATTTATCTGCCTTCCAGAGCGATATTTCAAGGAGTCTGTTGGGGCAGATGGAAATTTAATATGTGCTTTAACTGAATGCAGTGAGTGCATTTGGAGCAGGGGGACAAAGGGAAAATTTCAGCTGAATATCAGGAGACATTTCCTATGGGTGAGGCCTGTGAGTCTGGGAAATATTCCCCCCGACAAGTGGTGGAAGCCTCTGTGTTATTTTAAAAACCAGACTGGAAAAAGCAGTGCAGGACAGACTGGATTTGGCTCTTCTGCTTCGGCTGGAAGTGCAGAGCCCATGAGCTAACACGCTCCCCTCTGCCTCTCTCTGCTCCATGAGAGCTTCCCTGGATAACACAGTGCAAATCATCTTCCTCGGCTCATGTCTCCTGGATAGAGATTTCTGCCAAAAGGCCTGAAGGGTTTTGCCAATTTTGCTCATTCCTTTTGCTCAGGAAGAGCAAGAGCAGGACCTCTGCTTCATAGGAGTGAAGCCCTGATGCTGATGAGCGTTCAGGGTTGTACTTGGGGAAGGCTGAAGTTGTTCTGTCTTCCTGAGTGAGCTCCAGTAAGGGTGTGGGAGTGATTCCTGATTAGGTAAACTCTCATCTAGAGACAGATTAAGGCTGCTAAACACTATCCATATGTGGAACATCCCAATGTCAGGGAATATTTGGACACAGGGTCTTGGACTGGACCTGTGCTTATGCTGTGTGGAGTGTGGATGGTGGAAAGGAGATTTTCTAAAGGAACTAAGGACAAATATCACCCAAGAGATGCTCCTAATGCTCATACTCCCCTTTAAAATTGGATTCC